ATAAAAAAGTCCAGACTTTACTGAACCAAATTAAAAATATTATTGATAGAAGACGAGGAAACACGTCCACACAGCAGGATTTAGTCCTGTTAAATCCTGTTTAGTCCTGTTTTAGTCCTGGTTTACTCTTGGTTTTAGACCTGGTTTAGACCTGGTTTAGATCCCATTTAGATCTAGTTTAGACCTGCTTTTGGTCCTGTTTTGTTCTTGTTTTAGTCCTTTTAGTCCTTTTTAGTCCTGTTTTAGTCCTGTTTTAAGTCCTGTTTTAGTCCTGGTTTTACCTGGTTTCCTGGTTTTAGTCCTGTTTTAGTCCTGGTTTAGTCCTTTTTAGGTCCTGTTTTAGTCCATTTAGTCCTTTTTAGTCCTGGTTTTAGTCCTTTTAGACCTGGTTTTAGTCCTGGTTTTAGTCCTGGTTTAGTCCTGTTTTAGTCCTGGTTTTATTTTAGTCCTGGTTTTAGTCCTGTTTTAGTCCTGTTTTAGTCCTGGTTTTAGTCCTGTTTTAGTCCTGCTTTAGTCCTGGTTTAGACTTGGTTTTAGTCCTGGTTTTAGACTGTTCTAGACCTGGTTGAGATCTCGTATAGACCTGGTTTAGTTTCCGGGAATGAGTGGAATTACCGGGAGAAAAAAAAATAAAAAATTTTGCTCAAAATGTGAAAAAAGGAAAATCCCTCTGTGTAATCCATTTATTTCACCAAAGTAACTGTAATCCAATTACCACTCACTGAAACAGTAACTGTAACTGAATACAGTTACTCATCATTTGTACTCTGATTACTCCGGTACATGTAATGTTTACTCCCCGACACTGTCAATTATCGATTAATCGACTAATCGTGCCCATCAATAGTTACAATTGAACAAAATTGAGAGTTATTATGAAAAATAAAAGTAAAGTAAAGTTTAAGTATTAGAGTAAGTTTAAAGTAAAGTAAATAAATAAAGTCTGACTGATTTATCGAACTGTTGTGTTTCGTTTAAAGTCCGGTGCGGTTTTTATTTGTGAAAAAAGTTCGAAAATAGACCATTTAATGACAGTGCGCCCTATAGTGCGGAAAATACGGTAGTAGTCCAGAAATTACTCAAGTAAAGGTAAAAAAAGTATTTGGGAAAACTACTCACAGACTAACTAAACCAAACCACGTCTGAAGGAGCCGCAAGAAACTAAATATTCAAATCATTTTCAAATCGTCATGTGAAGATTTTGTCACTTTAGACTGACTCACAGCGGGAAAAGGAAAAAAAGCACAACTTTTACTCAAGTACTTAAAAATATCACTCAAGTGGGAGGAGTAAAAGTATGCTGCTGGACAAGTTTTCTGAAATGCCTTTAAAAAGTTACTCAAGTAAACGTAACCACCTCTGAAAATATTTGTATTGCCACGTTTTGCCTTAACTAACTCATCGTTTTTATTTGTTTAATCTTTTCCAGAAACATGTATTTGGTATTTCATGAACAATAAATCTTCATGACGTCAAAAACCAAAAGGAAAATGTGTCTCTCGTGTTTTGTTTTTTTGTTTTTTGTGGGTGTTTTTTAAAGGTTTGGACAGTAGGGGGAGCTCTTCTGTTTGTTTACATGCACAGAACCTGTTTGCAGTGATGGTTTTTAGAACAAGTGTTTGTGTTCAGTGTCGGGGAGGTGACTTTTTAAAATGTAATCCCCTACAGATTACAGATTACATACACCAAAATGTAGTTTGTAACGTAATCCATTAAATTACTTAAAGTGAGTAATGTAATCTGAATACTTTGGATTACTTGATTTGCTGTAGAGAAAGCAAAGAAAAAGAAATCTTAACATAAGAGTTTTTTGCTGATAAAAGAAAATAAAAAAGTCCAGACTTTACTGAACCAAATTAAAAATATTATTGATAGAAGAAGAACACGTCCACACAGCAGGATTTAGTCCTGTTAATTCCTTTTAGTCCTGGTTTAGACCTGGTTTTAATCTGGTTTAGTCCTGGTTTAGACCTGGTTTAAGTCCTGGTTTAGTCCTGGTTTAGTCCTGGTTTAGTCCTGGTTTAGACCTGGTTTTAGTCCTGGTTTAGACCTGTTTAGTCCTGTTAGACCTTAGACCTTACCTGTTAGTCCTGGTTTTAGTCCTGGTTTAGACCTGGTTTAGACCTGGTTTTAGTCCTGGTTTAGTCCTGTTAAATCCTGTTTTAGACCTGATTTAGACCTGGATGAGTCCTGGTTTAGACCTAGTTTAGACCTAGTTTAGACCTTAGACCTTTTAGACCTGGTTTTAGACCTGGTTTAGACCTAGTTTAGACCTGGTTTAGACCTGGTTTAGACCTGGTTTAGACCTGGTTTTAGACCTGGTTTAGACCTGGTTTTAGTTTAGACCTGGTTTTAGTCCTGGTTTAGACCTGGTTTAGTCCTGGTTTAGACCTGGTTTAGTCCTGGTTTAGGCCTGGTTTAGACCTGGTTTTAGACCTGGTTTAGACCTGTTTTAGTGTCCGGCAATGAGTGGAATTACCAAAAAAAAAAAAAAGTGAAAACAGGAAAATACCTCCGTGTAATCCATTTATTTCAACAAAGTAACTGTAATCCAATTACCACTCACTGAAACAGTAACTGTAACTGAATACAGTTACTCATCATTTGTACTCTGATTACTTAACTCTGGTACATGTAATCTGTTACTCCCCGACACTGTCTGTGTGATGAAGGTTGTTTTCATTGTAGATTAAGTAGATTAAGTAGGTTAAGTAGGTTAAGTACTTTACACTGTGAAGCTTTATGTAACTTCAACATAAAACTTAAGTAACAGGATCCAAAAAGAAAAGTTATTATTGTAAATCTAAACAAAACAAATACAAAAGTTCAAACCTTGGACTAAAACACGTTTGAACACTTTGTAATAGACGTAGTGTTTCTGAAATTAATCTAAAATAAATCCTTTCATCTGATTTATTTCGTGACACTGACATAATCACGTTAAGATAAAATGTTGTGACCTGTAATTTGAAGCATTAAAAAAACAAAAAAACAAAACACATGATTGTCAGTCTTATCACAAAGAGTCAATATTACAGGCTGCAAAGATCAAATGTAATCAATGGAAAATCATAAAGGTCAAAACCATGAAATAGCTTAATAAACTATTTTAGTTACAATAAATTACTCAAGTACTTAGACTTAGATCAACTTTATTGATCCACAAGGGAAATCATTTGGACACAGTAGCTCACACATCACAATAAATACCTTAACAAAAATATAAATGGTAATAATAAATTCTAAATAAGTATCAAATAGAGAGCAAGAGATATGTGTACAAGTCAAAATAAAACAGAAAAATAAATCATAAAATATAAAATCTCAGCTGTTTACAAGAGGAAACACAGGAAAACAGAGCAGTGATCTGATGATTGACAGGACACAGGGTTTTCTGTTACATAACAGTGAGTTGTACAGTAAGTAAGAGTACTTACTTGAGTAATATACTGAACTTTATTTTACTCCAGTAAGAGTACTGTTACTAAGAGTACTGTTACACTGTAGAGTAATTACTCAAGTAAGAGTACTGTTACACTGTAGAGTAATTACTCAAGTAAGAGTACTGTTACACTGTAGAGTAATTACTCAAGTAAGAGTACTGTTACACTGTAGAGTAATTACTCAAGTAAGAGTACTGTTACACTGTACACCTGCAACTGCAACTTTATTTATAACACACTTTAAAAACCAACACAGACTGACCAAAGTGCTACAGAACATGATTAAAAACAATAAAAACACAACATATTACTTAAGAGTACAGTTACACTGTAGAGTATATTACTCAAGTAAGAGTACTATTACACTGTATAATATATTACTCAAGTAAAGTACTGTGATTTAAGTAAGAATACTTACTTGAGTAATATACTGAACTGTAAATTACTCAAGAGTACTGTTACACTGTAGAGTATGTTACTCAAGTAAGAGTACTGTTACACTGTAGAGTATGTTACTCAAGTAAGAGTACTGTTACTCTTCACAACTGCAACTGCATCTTTATTTATAACACACTTTAAAAACAACACACTGACCGAAGTGCTACGGAACATGATTAAAAACAATAAAACACAACATATTACTCAAGTAAAAGTAGTTACACTGTACAATATTACTCAAGTACTGTTACTCTTCACAATATATTACTCCAGTAACAGTACTTACTTGAGTAATATACTGAACTGTATATTACTCAAGTAAGAGTACTGTTACTCTTCACAACTGCAACAGGATTTATTTTTAACACACTTTAAAAACAACACAGACAATAAAAATACAACATATTACTCGAGTACTGTTACACTCTATAATTACTCAAGTAAGAGTACTGTTACTCTTCACAACATATTACTCAAGTAAGAGTAGTAATACATTGTACAATGTATTACTCAAGTAAAAGTACTGTGATTTATGTAAGAGTACTTACTTGAGTAATATACTGAACTGTAAATTACTTAAGTAAGAAAACTCTTACACTGTACAATATATTACTCGAGTAAGAGTACTGTTACTCTTCACAACTGCAACTGCATCTTTATTTATAACACACTTTAAAAACAACACAGACCGACCAAAGTGTTGCAGAACATGATTTAAAAAACAATTAAAACACAACATATTACTCAAGAGTACAGTTACACCGTACAGTTACTCAAGTAAGAGTACTGTTACCCTATGCAGCACATTGCTCAAGAAGAGTACGGTTACACTGTGCGGTATGTCAGTAAGTAGTAGTAAGAGTAAAAGTATGCGGTGTGAAAACTACTCAGTGAATGACAACTGTTTTACAAAAAGAAACTTAGTTAAATAAATATGAAACAAACAGAAGTTTCGTCCACGCGCTCTGTTCCACGCTGTCCTCTCTTGTCTCGCTGTTGCGTAATGACGTCGTCCCACTGACTGCTGACCCACTTTACGTCTGGGGGCGGGGCCTTGTGACGTCGCGAGGCGGTAGCGCTATAAAAGCTCCAGCGCTAAACTCGAGCTCAGACCACAAACAGAAAGTTACGACACAACAACAGCTTTTGTCCTCATAAAAGTGCACAAAGGGAGGCATGAACGCCATCTAACCTCACTCCGGAGACTTTTTCAGGTAAATCTGATTAATTATTTCTGTATTTGTTTCATAAAAGTGTGTTTTGAAGTTTTTTATTGTGCTAAACGTGCCTTGAGATTACAATAGCTTCACATGTAAAAGGTTTGACAACGGAAGTAAACAAAGAATCGTGATTTCAGTTGAGTGCAAATAACACTTTTATATTAATATAGGAAATCTCAGCTATTAAAATGTGGTTAACGTGATCTCAAATTGTGTTAAATTAATCAGGAATTGACAGTAACAACAAACAAAAACAATGTCAACTCATGAAATAATAAAATCCATAGTAATAAAAAGTAAATTAATGACAAAAATGAAAGCATGATTGTTTTGGTTGTGTTTATTGCGCTGAAAAACATGTAAGCAGGCTTGCATCTCCGCACACCTGACCCACGCTGCTTGTTTCCATGGAAATCTTGTTACTTTGGCTATAAACTTCCGCAGTATGGCCAAAAAAACGTGTCTATCCCCGGGGAGAATGTTCCTTAAATCCTATGTTTTAACTTTCTGTTTCCATGGAATCACGCAGAGGACTTCCCACTTCCAGAGAGTTACATCCTGTCCCATTAAACCAACTAATTTGCGCTAAAAATGAAAAATATCCACTTTAAATAACACATAACTTCTTTATTACGTCATAACAACTTGAGAAAACTGTATTAATTAGCCAGTACGTGTTATAATTACATGTCAAACAACTTTCAATTTAACAAAAATGAAAATATATCAAGCCACAATCTTCGATTTCAGTAATTCTATGACTAACACCTTACATAAAATTGAAAGTATTTTTGCTTTTACACTTTCTATTTTCACTTTGGGGCTTTTAAATGTAACTCGATGACCCTTATGTTTACAGACGTAAGTGACACACTGACCACTATACCGTGAACGCATTTTGTAATGCAGACTTGTTTTGTGTGCATAGTTCGGTCTAGTCCTGTGTTATGTCACGAATGCCGAACCTGTCATACCGGATCACGTTATTATACAGGTCACAATACGGACGGCAAAAATAGACACACGCTGCATGGAGATGTGTCGGTATAGCACAGATGTGAATAAATAAGAGAAAAGCGGTTTAACTAATAATATCTTCAGTTAAATGCGACGTAAAAAATGCCACAAAATCATAATGAAATAATTTTAGGTGCATTTCAGAAGCAAAAACTGTGGATTGTATTGAAAAATTATGGATTGAGATGTAAGAAATTGCTGTTAAACTGATTTTATTATATTCAGTAAGTTAATTTGGCAACTTTACTATACAGAAATATTTTTTATAATTAGGTTTAAATCTGTAAAAATTGGAAGTGTTAAAAATTAGGGCTGGGTATCGTTAAGAAGTTGCCTATACGATACATACCTCGATTATAGTGCACTTTTGGTTCGATATTATATATTTTAAATCGATTCGATGCAGGTCAATAAAAAATAAATGTTCAACTCTTTGTTAAACGACTTCTTGTGCAAATTTAATATGAAAAACAAACATTTTAATCCTCAAAACAGTGAAAATCCAATCCAGTCCACTTTATTTCTATAGCACATTTCACAAATAAAGTTTCCAAAGTGCTGCACAAATACATAATAATAATAATATAAAAACAATTATAAAATGATAAAATAAACTACTAAAATAATCATACTAATCTTAAAATAATAAAACCAATAAAATAAAATAAGCAGAATAAGAATAGCAATAAATAAAACCAATAAATAATAATTTCTTCCACTGAACAAACAACAAAACTGTACCGATATCGATTCTGTATTAGCACATTAAGCGATACAATATATCAATATTTCAGTATTTTTTCAGACCCGTATTAAAAATGTCTCAAACAGCAACAACACAATTACATCCGTGTATATACAGAATATTTTTAGATCACACTTGGTTAGTGGTCAGACACTCAAACCACCACTGAAGTGTCACTCAAAACATTGTCTAAAAGTAGAAAAAGTAGGAGTGGCCTCGCATTTTTCACTCAAACCAGGTCATCAAAGTCCAAATTTAATACTTCAAAATATATTTTCCAGACTTTATTCAGTAACAATTTCCAAATATCAGCATTGTCAGGATAAAATGTTTAAATAAAGACAAAAATCTGAGTAAAACACACACACAAAACAACAACAACAGCAACAAAAAGGTCACCTACTCGCAATGAACATGTACCTGATACTTCAAAATAATAACTGTAAAACATAATACACAGTACAGTACAAAATATATATATTTAGTAGGCATAGTATGTAATTTATTGTAGTATTATGTAAATATTTGTAAAGTTTCGTGATCAATGTGCATAAGAAACCAGATCATTTTTGAAACTGTCATGAACAGGGGCGGGTTAATGTAAGTTTTTCTTCTTCCCGACAAATGTGCTTTTCTTTTGTTTACAGTGTTTATGTAGTACGGTTGGGTATCATTAAGAAGTCGCCAATACCTCGATACACAGGCCACGATACGATACATATCTCGATACAGTGCACTTTCGATTCAACACGATATATTTCAAATCGATTCGATACGGTTCAAGAAAAAATAAAGGCGAAATCAATGTCTGTGATGCTAAAAGTCTTTGTAAACCACTTCTTCTTGTGCAAAGTTAAAATGAAACACAAACATTTTAATCATCAAAACAGTGAAAAATGTCAAATGTGTCGCATAAACGAGTTTCCTTCCAGTAAACCAGGAGTGTCAAACTCAAATTCACAGGGGCCAAAATTAAAAACTGGGATTAAGTCGTGGGTCAAACTAAATATTTACTGCATGTTTTCTCTTTTTTCGAGATATGTAATGTTAAACTTTTTCTTATTAAAATAAATGTTTAATAATAGTTTTGCTTAAACATTGAATCCAGAACAAGCGGAATATAAAATAATAACAACATTTTAAATAAATAATGTCTCTATAGTCGATATTTAGCCGGCGAGGAGCTTTAATACAGATTTGATATGATCTCGCGGGTCTAATATTTTAATATCGCGGGCCAAATTTGGCCCCCGGGCCTGAGTTTGACATGTCTGCAGTGAACAATAGGAGTGTAACGATATCGAAGTCTCACGATACGATATCGTCACAGTATGAACCTCACGATACGATATTTATTGCGATATCGTGGGAAAGCTCACGATTAGGAATGGAACAATATTCAAAACTTTTTTCACGATATTTTCACAAAATACATTTCACGGTACGATATTTATCGCAATATTTCATGGCGACTAAACAGCTAAAACTGTAAATGATACTTTTTCCTCTTTAAAATGCCTTGACAAGACTTAATCCAAAGAACTAAGACTTAAAAGTGTTAGAACTGTTATTTCTTCTTGTGTCTGCACTGAAATGGAGCAAAGGATCATGGTCTATGTAGTTCTCTATGTAGTTTTTTTTTAACTATCTAAGCAAAGAGACTTGTAATTCAATATATTGTGACGGTCCACGATATTATTGTGAGAACTTTGACGATACGATATCACAACATTTCAATTTTTGTTTTGTTTACATCCCTACTAAATAAACGAAATACTTTAGTAAAATACACCAAAAAAATACTCTTGGTGATATATCGATACAGCAGCCCACGATATCGATACTGTATCATGACATTAAACGATACGATATATGGATATTTTGATATTTTTGCAGACCCCTAATATGTAGTATGTGTATGATTATAGTTTTTTTGTTATTGTGAATGTAGGATTAAAATAAGACACGCTTCTTCTTACTTTTTTTTAAATTTTGTTTGTTTATTTCTCTGTTAAATCTGAATATTCTCAGAGTTTGGAGACTGTGTGTTGTCCCTTTAAACTCTTAACGCTAAACAAAAACAAAACGATCAATCAGTCACAAGCTGTTTAAGGAAGTCGTTAAAATCACTAAACCGGGACAAGCCCAAAACCAAAGTCCTTCATCTGGTTTCTGTCTGACTGTGCTGCTTATTCATTCCCCCGGGTTGCGCGGTGTTGCAGAGGCGGCCGATCGGGCAGTGGGCGGGGCTTTGGGACGGGGCGGGGGGGCGGGGCTTTGGGACGGGAGGGGTCAGGGGGGTTCCCGGGCTCGCGGCGGTCGGAGGAGTTACATCATGTGGCAGTTATGATTCAGAGGGAGTTGAACAGCGGCAGAGGCAGGTGACAGACGCCCTTAGAGATAAATACAGAACACACACACAGAACAGAACAGGCCTTCTAGAAAGTTCTCTGCTACACCCCAAGGCCGACTTTTGTCACAGAGAGCACAATAACGTTTGGAAGATTATATTTCTGCCTGCCTCGTCGAATATAATAAAAGACTTCTATTTATCTATTTATTTATTTTTGCACAAATGTAACTAAGGCTGAAATCACGATTAGTCAAACGATTTATTTTTTACTTACACGATGCATTTATTCACATTTCATTGATAATTTCTCTCTAAAAAAAACACTTTGTTATTGATAATTTACACAAAACATTCAAACTTCAACTTGATTATGAGTTTGGAGATCGTTTGACACACAAATTGAAATCTTAATTATAATTCAGTTAATTGCACAGCTTTATATAAAACAATAAACAATAAATATAGCCGCAAGCGGCGATGATCGGCCCTCACATGTGCCCCACACTAACCCTAATAACCCTGAGCTTAAACCTAACCCTGAGTTTTTTTATTGAGATCATCATGTCACAAAAGTGGGTACCAAATTTTCTATATCTATGACAAATAAAACCTTATTTTTCATACAAATTTTCTAGGGGGCGCTATTGCACCCATTTTTTTGTTTTTTACATCAGTCTGTTCAGGGTCGAGGTGTGAACCCACGATTAAAACTTGAGTGAAATCAGCCAGAGTTTGTGTGATTTGTCAATTTTACCAATGGAATAACATAGGGAGTTTATGTCATCGCTATGGCGACGCCATAAAAAATATGGCAACGCCATAAAAAAAATATGGCATGGGTGTCATTGACTTTTGGATCAGGATGCCAAAACTTAATTTTGTGCAAAATTTCAGACATTTTTGAAAAACAATTTTTTTTCTCCCATATTAAATTTAGTTTCAATCTATAGGGGGCGTTAATGTGCCAAATTAATAATTTTCACATTAAGTAGCTTCAGGACAGAGAGTTTAACAACTTTCAAATTTCATTGAAATCGGAGTTCATTTGAGTAAATGGGAGCAATTTGTAAATATCCAGAAATCTCCAAAATTGTGTGCAGTTTTTGTTGCTTCACTGCTCAGAGACTGTAAGACGTGTGTAAAAAAATCGGATAACTTTTGATGTTCCACCTCTTGAGATAATGTGGACCAAATCTGAGTAAGCACACGAGATAAAAAAGTAGGTGCTGGAAGAGACAAAAAAAAAACAGAAGAGCGAAATATTAAAGCCTCCACCTTAAGAATAAACGCACCAAGAATCTCAGACTTCCGGTCATTGTGCAGTGCAAACTGGGAAGGATTTTCCGAAAAAGTGAGCATCAAAACTTTTGCAAGTTGAGACTTGCAAAACACTTGGTCCCATCTCTGTGGATTAGTTTATGAAGAAACACAACAGATGAAAATGTCCCTGGTGTAATTTGTTGATTTCTGTGCAGGTGTAAAGAGAAAACCTTACATCCTTCGTATCAGTCGAGCAGATCCGTGTTTTTGCTCCGGTCGAGAGGAGCATGCAGTCGCAGAAGAAGCACCTGCTGGAGGGTCTGATGATCCAGGCGGCGCTCCTGCTCAGCCTGTGCGGGGTGAGGGTGGACGTGGGGCTGGACCCGGGGCCCCTGCCTTGGTCCGAGAGCCTGATCCTGGGGCCCACGTCCGCCCTGACGCCCACGCACCTGCACAACCTGAGGAACGCGCTGGAGGGAGGCGCCGAGCTGCACCCCAAACACCCGGACCTGGACGCCTTCTTCACCTCCAGGCGTCTGCTGGGCTTCGTGCGCTCGCTGGACCGGCTGCAGGTGAGGAGGGGGCGGGGCTACAAACAAATCTGTGTATTATCCGTTCAATCGTTTTTTAAAATAAAACCAAAAATAAGAAAACGAAAAAAACAACAACAATTTTCTTCATTATTTGTCTCCAAAACCAAAATGAAAAAACAGATAATGATTTGTTTTTTCCAGTTTTTGATTTTGTGTTTAAATGAAAAATGGAAAAAAAAAACTGATAATGACAGTTTCCGACACTCCTGGGTTAGTCCTGGTTTAGACCTGGTTTAGACCTGGTTTAGACCTGGTTTAGTCCTGGTTTAGTCCTGGTTTAGAACTGAGACCAGAATCGGACCAGGACCAGGACCAGACCAGAGCTAAGACCAGGACTGAGACTGGTTTAGTCCTGGTTTAGTCCTGGTTTAGTCCTGGTTTAGACCTGGTTTAGTCCTGGTTTAGGACTGAGACCTGAACCGGACCAGGACTGAGACCGGAACCAGACTGGAACTGAGACCAGGACTGTGACTGGTTTAGACCTGGTTTAGGACTGACACTGGGACCAGGACCAGGACTGAGACCGGGACCAGGACCAGGACCAGACCGGGATTAAGACCAGGACTATGACCGGTTAAAAAAATTGTAATCTATTTATTTGTCAATTTTAGTGCATTTGTCTTGTAAAAATATTGTGTTTTTATTATTATTTTAGCCAAGCCGAGCATGATGGATTATATTTAACTAATTATTTATGGAACAAAACATTCCGCACTGGAGCTTTGTAACACTTTATTTTGTAATTATGTTTTTATACGTGTTTATTGTAGATAATCTGGATAAATGTGAAATGTGGGACCAGAATCGCAAATCTGCAAAACAAATTTACCTACGGGTACGAATACAAACGAACGATCACCGAACGATACAAACCCTGATAGGGCGATGATACGATACGATACATCGATAACGAACGTCGATCGCAGGCACGATACATACCGATCGATACGATACGATACATACTCGATACGATACGATACACAGGCCACGATACGATACATACCTCGATACGCAGGCCACGATACGATACGATACACGATACGATACACAGGCCACGATACGATACATACCTCGATACAGTGCACTTTCGATTCGATATGATATATTTCCAATCGATTCGATACAGTTCAATAAAAAATAAAGGCTAAATCGTGGCTGTGATACTAAAAGTTTTTGTTAAACCACTTCATATGAAACTCAAACATTTTTATCCACAAAACGGTGTCAAAATGTCAAATGTGTCGCATAAATGAGTTTCCTTTCACTCCACAAGCAACAAAACTGTAGCTGTAACGAAATAATTAAGTAAAACACACGTAAAAATAGTCGAATACGGCAGCCCACGATATCGATACCGTATCGTCACATTAAACGATACGATATATCGATATTCCGATATTTTTGCACACCCCTAAAACCCTTAATGTTAAATGTAAAACAGTATTTTTATTAATCACAGAAAAAAATGTGAAATTTAGCCTGATATTTCAATAAACCCGTAGTAACGTAATAAAAACATCGCCAGGATTGAGAAAACATGTTCTGTAAAACCTTCAGCGTTTTCATCACACATATAAAATTAATATCATCAGCGGTCGGTTAAAGCCTCAGCTCCTGCAAGAACAGCTGCAAACAGAACCGCCGACTCATACAGAGAAGAGTTGAATGTGTGCGACAGCTGGACGCCGGGGTGAGGTCTGGACCGCGGACTGTAAACGGTCTCAAGTCTGAACATACCAGACGTTTATTCATTTGTGCACAGGCCCGAGCTCCTGCATAAAACTGGACAGGACAGAAAGTCTCGTATGGTTCCTCCGCGTTATTGTGAGAATAAAAAACGTCCAAACTTGTTGAAAGTCGAAATCTGCCCGCCTGAGGCCTCCGCTCCCCGCCCGGTGAACTCAAAAGAAACCAACGCTGGGTACAAAAACTAGAACTGTAACTAGATATAATCAGTGTTGGGGAGTAACAGATTACAATATGTACTGGAGTTATGTAATCAGAGTACAAATGATGAGTAACTGTATTCAGTTACAGTTACTGTTTCAGTGAGTGGTAATTGGATTACAGTTACTTTGTTGGAATAAATGGATTACACAGCGGGATTTTCCTGTTTTCACATTTTGGGCTATATCCTTTTTTTTTTTTTTTTTTTGGTAATTCCACTCATTGCCGGAAACTAAACCAGGTCTAAACCAGGTCTAAAACCAGGTCTAAAACCAGGTCTAAACCGGGTCTAAACCAGGTCTAAACCAGGACTAAAACCAGGTCTAATCTAGATCTAAAACCAGGTCTAAAACCAGGTCTAAACCAAGACTTAACCAGGTCTAAAACCAGATCTAAATCTAAACTAGATCTAAACTAGGTTTAAACCAGGTCTAAACCAGGTCGAAACCAGATCTAAACTAGATCTAAACTAGGTTTAAACCAGGTCTAAAACCAGGTCGAAACCAGATCTAAACTAGATCTAAAGTAGGTCTAAACTAGGTCTAAACTAGATCTAAACCAGGACTAAAACCAGGTCTAATCTAGATCTAAACCAGGTCTAAAACCAGATCTAAACCAGGTCGAAACCAGGACTAAAACCAGGTCTAAACCAGGTCTAAAACCAGGTCGAAACCAGGTCTAAAACCAGGTCTAAAACCGGGTCTAAGACCAGGTCTAAACTCGGACTAAACTCGGACTAAACTCGGACTAAACTCGGACTAAACTCGGACTACACCAGGACTAAAACCAGGTCTAAAACCAGGTCTAAACCAGGTCTAAACCAGGTCTAAAACAGGATTTAACAGGACTGCATGGACCGCGTCTCCTCGTCTAAATGTCACTACAACGTTTTTAAAAGACGCTTCCTCTACACAGACACAACTTAACACATCAAAATAACGAGAAGACGCTCCTCCCTGTTCACCGCGTGCGCCCACATTTTTACTGTGACGTAAATCCAACCTTTGTCTGCTCCCGAAACAGCCCGAGTTTGTGTTTCGGAACCCGGATTTGACTTTCTCGAGGTGGAGGTCGGTTTTCTTCGAGTCCCGAGCTCAAACGAATGCAGCGTTACAGTGAACTCGATGGTCTCAGATTTATAAAAAGTGCTTCTAAACTCATGGCGGTGAATAATTAGGACGCAGAACGCCTTCGTGCGCTCGCTGGACCGGCTGCAGGTGAGGAGGGGGCGGGGCTACAAACAAATCTGTGTGTCGTTCGTTCAATCGTTTTTTTTCAAAATAAAACCAAAAATAAGAAAACGAAAAAAAAAAAACTACAATTTTCTTCATTATTTGACTCCAAAACCAAAATGAAAAAAACAGATAACGATTTGATTTTTTTCGTTTTTCATTTTGTGTTTAAATGAAAAATGGAAAAAACTGACAATGACAGTTTCCGACACTCCTGGGTTAGTCCTGGTTTAGTCCTGGTTTAGACCTGGTTTAGTCCTGGTTTAGACCTTGTTTAGACCTGGTTTTAGTCCTGGTTTAAGTCCTGGTTTAGTCCTGGTTTAGACCTGGTTTAGTCCTGGTTTAGTCCTGGTTTTTAGACCAGGTTTAGTCCTGGTTTAGTCCTGGTTTCCTGGTTTAGACCTGGTTTAGTCCTGGTTTAGTCCTGGTTTAGACCTGGTTTAGAACTGAGACCGGAATCGGACCAGGACCAGGATTGAGACCGGGACCAGACCAGGATCAAACCAGAGCTAAAACCAGGACTGAGACCGGTTTAGACCTGGTTTAGACCTGGTTTAGGACTGAGACTGGAACCGGACCAGGACTGAGACCGGGACCAGACTAGGACTGAGACCAGGACTGCAACTGGTTTAGACCTGGTTTAGGACTGAGACCGGAACCGGACTGGAACTGAGACCAGGACTGTGACTGATTTAGACCTGATTTAGGACTGAGACCGGCACCGGGACCAGGACTGAGACCGGCACCGGGACCAGGACTGAGACCGGCACCGGGACCAGGACTGAGACCGGCACCGGGACCAGGACCAGGACAGGACTGAGACTCTGAATGCATAAAGTAAGTGAGGAATGACTTTGGACGACTGCAGACTGTTTAAACCGAGCTGGTTCTGGTTTTTGACGTGTTTAAGAAAGTAAAAATCAGGTACAGCGGCCGTAATTCGTCTTTTTAATCATGTATTAATGTTTGTTCGTGTGCCAGGTTCCTCAGGCGGAGCTGGAGACGTGGCTGGTTCAACAGGACCCCGCTCCTCTACCCGTGAGACTGCACCACACTGCCCCCAACAGGCTCATCCTGCCAGAGCAGACCCGAGACCAGGACTGGCCGAGACCGGAGACGAGCCCCGAGACCAGGACTGGGCCGAGACCCGGAGACGAGCCCCGAGACCAGGACTGGGCCGAGACCGGAGACGAGCCCCGAGACCAGGACTGGGCCGAGTCCGGAGACGAGCCCCGAGAGCAGCAGTGGGACGAGCCCGAGGACTTCCACACACAGGTACAACTCTCTTCAGAACAGAGCCGTAAAACGTGTTTGGTCTTCACTTTCCTCTGAAAATAGATCAAGAACATGAAGCACAGAGATCAGTTGGACTTTAGTCGTTCGGGTGGATTAATCGATCTACGGTAGAGCTGCTCGATTATGAAAAAAATCACGGTTAATTTGGTCAATATTGAAATCACGATTATTCAAACTATTATTTTTTACTTACACGATGCATTTATTCACCATTTCTCTCTCAAAAAAAAAAAACTTTATTATTATAATTTATGCGAAACTTTCAACTTTCAAATTGAAAATAAATTCAGGCTACAAAAATGTACCTTTTTAACACAGTTTTGCGATGTATAAATCATAAAATGAATAAATTATACATGAAATAAAGCACAGAAAAGCATAAATGTATCCAAAATAAACTACATATCCAGCTGTTCTACAATCTCTATATTTGCAAAAAAATAATAATAATAATAATATACTTATTTATTAGTGGTGGGTGTACACAAATATCGCGGGTTTGGTACGTACCTCGGTTTTGAGGTCACAGTTCGGTTTGGGAACAAAATACAAAACCATTTGCTTGTTGTTTATTAGTGTTTTTATTAAACCAACAGGTTGTTTTAACTTTATACAAATGAGAAAATTAAATAAATGCAAAGTGCTGCTTGGTAATACTAATAAGTTAAATTAAATATTCTCAAATACGCAACAAATGTATGAAATATTATACAAATTTTATTCCTTGTAAACAGTCATCAAAACTTTTCATAAAGTGAAGAGCAGCACTAACAGTTCCAGCATGAACTTTTACTCAATCTTCATATTTTTGGCCAGAAAAAACAACTTTTTTCTGGGGGGCGAGTGTGAGGACCGCGGGGCGACGATTGTAGTTTTATGAGGATTCACGTGGTTTGGAGGGACATGGTCAAGGTGGCCGCCCTAACTATAAAGCGCTGCGGGAAACACTTTCGCCCCGATCACAGACGAGTTCCATCGTGAATATTAACGAGTCGAGCCTCTGTGGAGCTGCACGTGTAGTGGTGGATGTAAACACACAAACTCACACCGAACTGAACGTCCTGTACCGAATACATGTAACATTACACACCTATAATTTATATTTTAAAAAATCCCCAAATAAACATTGCTAAGCTTTAATCATTTCAACTCAATTAAATGAGTTTGGAGAAATCGAAATCGCAATCAAATTTCAATAAATTGCACGGCCTTAGTCTATGGCAGGAGAGTCAAACTCATTTTGGTCCTGGGGCCGTATCCAACCGACTTTGATCCCAAAGGGGCCGGATCAGAAAACTCATGTCATATAAACCCCAAAAATAAAAATAAGTTCAAATATTTGTGCAGAGAAACACAAATCTATTACAGAAATCTTTTTTAATTGATGAACTCTTTCTTTTACAAAATATTATGAACAACCTGAAACTTTAAAAAAAATTGAATTTCAGCACAATGTTTTAACATGAACTTTTATGTAAATAGGAATAAGTCAATTTTTGTTGTAAAATCCTGCACTCGGCTCCACTTTTCTCATGTTGGACATTTTTCTGATGAGGGTGTCACGGTCAACAGTCAAAACGATCGTCCTTTAAGAGCGTTTGGAAAGAGACAAGTCTTCATTTGTGCTGCTCTGGTGGGAGGGGCCACGTACAGAGACGCTGATATCATAAACACCACAGAAAATTTAACAATATTTTAATAGAAAAATATAATTTAAATATTTTAGTAGAAAATCATCCGAGGGCCAGATTAAAGGTCTTGGAGGGCCGCATCTGGCCCCTGGGCCGCATGTTTGACACCTGTGGTCTATGGTCTTGATTTTTTTGACTCAGGTTTGACTTTATTACGTGAAAAAAAGCAGTAACCGTTTATATTTAGACACACAGTACATTCTTGACATTTTAGATCAGACTCGTGCTGCGTTCAGACACCGACATCTAAACGAACGAACGACCTGCTGGACTCTTTCATGTGACGACACAAACATGAACGTTCACGACATTATCTCTTTTGTTGTTCGGCGAGAATCACCGCCGCATCATCCCCCATCATCGCTCACTACTAAATGACTTCACGTTTGCAGCTACTATTATTAGCCTTATTTCCCCTGCCTCTGTCCTCACCTCAGACGCTGCTGTACGAAACATGAGTCAGAGTTTGTCGGGCGTCGAAAATAATCCCCAGACTAGAGATTGTGACACTGTAGACCTGTTCATACACTCTCTCAGAAGTTGCTTAACAAATTAAATTGAAATCAGTTGTTTAAATAAATATAAAACATTAAAAACTAAAATGCACAACTGATATTTTGATACATTTAAAGGAACAAAACACCACAACCTGATTTTTACCGTCTTAAAAACATGAAAAACTAGTTCATTGTGACCAAACCAGACCAGACAGTTTTGCAGACAAGATAAAAACTAACAATAACTAGCATTCTAACTGTGCACGCCCTGATTATCGGACATTAAAACACTTAATAATTAGATTCAGACATTACACAGGAGACTTATTTTGACCTCAAGAGCTGCTGCTCGAACAATTTATCTGTACTGGAGCAAGACACATTTGGCTCAAAAACACAAGAATAAAAAACTCTAAAAGTATTGCCAACATTTGCCACATTTACATTCTGAATAAAAATAATTTAATTCTGAATAAAAATGAATTCTGCTTTTAAAAAACCATGTCAACACGCAATTCGTAATGAAAATGATTATTCGGAATTAAACTTAATTCCGACGTAAGTGGATGGTTTATTCAAATTTTAAAGCCAAATGAATTTATTCCTCGATCATGTAAACCAGACATGTCAAACTCAGGCCCAGGGGCCAAATTTGGCCCATGATATAATTATATTTGGCCCGTGAGATTATATCAAATTGTTATTATTTTATATTATGTTTGTTCTAGATTAAATGTTTAAGCAAAACTATTAATAAAACATTTATTATAATCAGAAAAGGTTTAACATTTCATATCTCAAAAGAAGAGAAAACACGCAGATGTCGTTGAAATTTTTCAATAAATATTTAGTTTGGCCCAGTTTTTTATTTTGGCCCTCTGTGAATTGGAGTTTGACACTCCTGAGTAAACGTTTATTCTTCTTCAAAATAATTCGCGGTCATTCAGTGCCTGCTCGTTGGGTCGCCTTTCTGACGCAATCCGGACGACGTCTCTTTGGATTTGTGAGCAGGATGCAGGAGTGGGCTGAGGTAGAGCAGCCTCACACTCAGTTTGTCTTCTTCCTCCCTTCTCCTCGTCAGCTGAATTACCAAATTACCTTAATTATCATCGGCATGACTGCGGAAAAAGTTTGGATCGTGTTTGTGTGTCTGTGGCGTAACGACAAACGGAGATGATGAAAAAAAAGCCGCCAGGTAGCAGCTGAAGTGTTTGTGTTTTCTTCCGGTCGACGTAAATACGTTCGTGTCCCTGTCCAATCAGAAGCCTTCCACACCCCCACCTGGAATTAAATAAAGACGATATAACATATTTTCCATGTAAACCTCAATTCAGAATTATTATTTCCATGTAAACTCGAAGGAGAATATTTTAATTCCGAACTATTTAATTCAGAACCATCATGTAAACGTGGCCATTTTGTATTTTAGCAGCGGATAAAGCTCTTGTTTCCACGTTACGGCATTAAACATTTCTATATTTTAGGTTTTTAATTACAGGTGCTTTTATTGTGAAGGAACAAAACAACAACAAAAAACACAAAAAGTTGACCTGGTTTGTGCTCGTCTCCATGGAAATTCAAAACAATAACACTTCCATGGAGACAAAAAAAACTGTCCGAAAGCGTGAGACCTTCCGCCACAAAAGTTTCCACAGTGCAGCTTTTTTAATATTCGACTGAGAATATCCCGTTCTCCCGTCGGAATATGAATCTTCTAGCAGTTTCGGACACAACAGTGGAGCTGTCCCGTTGACTTATTTCGAGGGCGAGCGGCAGAGCTGAGTCACGGTGCCACGGGTAAAAAAAGCGAGAAAGAAGCGTCGAACCGGCTCACAAACGAACGCTCCTCCTCCTCCTCCTCTCAAACACACGCCCAGACATCTCCTGGAGACCGACAACAAAACAAAGATTTACAGACGGACAGAGAGAGGGAGCGAGGGAGGGAAAGAGGGAAAGAGGGAGGGAGGGAGGGAAAGAGGGAGGGAGGGAGGGCAGGTTCAGAGTCCTGCTCGTTCAACGGAAAGTCCAACAAGGAAAGAACAGAGCACAAACAGACTATAAACTGTAAGCAGTAGACAGGGTTTGGGAGTAACAGATTACATGTACCGGAGTTACGTAATCAGAGTACAAATGTTATAAATGTAACTGTATTCAGTTACAGTTACTGTTTCCGTGAGTGGTAATTGGATTACAGTTACTTTGTTGAAATACATTTTATGGCGTTATTTTCCTGTTTTTACATTTCAGACTATATCCTTTTTTTTTTTTTTTTCAGGTAATTCCACTCATTTAAACCAGGCCGGACACTAAACCAGGTCTAAACCAGGACTAAACCAAAACCAGGTCTAAACCAGGACTAAACCAGGACTAAACCAGGACTAAACCAGGACTAAAACCAGGACTAAAACCAGGACTAAACCAGGACTATAACCAGGACTATAACCAGGACTAAAACCAGGACTAAAACCAGGAGGTCTAAAACCAGGTCTAAACCAGGACTAAACCAGGACTAAACCAGGACTAAAACCAGGACTCTAACCAGGACTAAACCAGGACTAAACCAGGACTAAACCAGGACAGGACTATAAACCAGGACTATAAACCAGGGGACTAAACCAGGACTAAACCAGGACTAAAACCAGGTCTAAACCAGGACCAGGAAAACCAGGTCTAAAACCAGGTCTCTAAAACCAGGACTAAAAACCAGGACTAAAACCAGGACTAAAACCAGGACTAAAACCAGGACTAAAACCAGGACTTAAAACCAGGACTAAACCAGGACTATAACCAGGACTAAACTAACCAGGGTCTAAAACCAGGTCTAAAACCAGGTCTAAAACCAGGACTA